TATGACTTTGCCTCTCCTCTGAGGACTGAGCTTTTGGGATGTTTGATGCTGACTCTTTTGGTTTGTAAAGTAGTCATTTGAGGCTTTTAAAATGTATTTTCCTCTGTGCTTTTTGCAATTATTCACCTTTCATTCATTCAATAAGTATTTACAGAGGATCTACTTAGTGCCATACTTCGCCCCTGCTTTCCTGGAGCGTCCAGTCTAGTGGGAAAGAAACAGGAGTTAATCAAGTAATTGGACTAAAACATTTAAAATTTCAGCTATGAAGGTGTTCATAGGGGAGGCACAGAAGGCTATGAAGCAAATGACATGAAGGACTGGTATACTCTTAGGTAAGTGGTTCTCAAAGTATGGGCCCTGGACCAGCAGCCTCAGCATCACCTGTGAGCTTGTTAGAATCACAAATTCTCAGTCCCTATCCCAGACCCACTGGGTTAGAAACTCTGGGGGTGGAGTCTGGCATCTGTGTCCTAACACGTCCCCAGGAGATTGAGATGCATGCTCAGGTTCGAGAACCCGTGCTCCAGGTGGTCAAAGAGGGCTTCTCTGAGGAAGTGCCTTTTGAGTTGTGAAGGAAACTAGGCAATAGGATGGGGTGGAGGAGGTACTTCAGATGGAAAGAATGGCATGTGTAAAAGCCCTGTGGTAAGAGCAGAGAGATTTACAAACATGAGAGTGTACCCCAAGCCAGGGGAAGAGTGATACAAGCTGAGACAGGTGGACAGGGCCAGAGTATGCAGGTCAGGGAGGCCTCATCCAGGATTGGGCAAGAGGAAGCTTTTGATGTGCTTTAAACACGGGAGTGGCACCGTATTATTGGCATTTATTTAAGGGTTAATTCTAGCTATGGAACGGAGAAAGGATTGAAGAAGAGCAAGAGCACACCAGGTGGAGGACATCGCAGGGTTCTGGGAGAAGATGATGGTAACTTGGACTAGGATGGTTTCTGGGGGGTAGAAAGCAGGGTGTATAATCCCAATATTCTTAGGTAGAATCCATAGGTCTTGGTCATCGATTGGAGGTGTCAGGGATGACTTTGGTGTTTGGGTTTACATGCAAGATGGAAGATGGATGATGCCAATTTTGGCAGTGGAAAGAGATCATGAGATGATCTTGAGTTTGAGGTGCTTTTGAGCCACCCAAGTAAAATATGAATTAGATGGTAGAAGGTATGCATCTAGAGCTTGGAGGAGAAGTTAGGTCTGGAGATACACATTGTGAGTCATCAACAACCAAGTGGGGAACTATGGGCTGGGGTGAGTCACCTAAGACTGTAATGATGAGAAGAAAGCCAGTAGTAATGCTCTTTCAGGAACTTCAATGCTTATGTGTAATGGTCAGGTGGAAGAAGATATACCCATAGAACAAGCTTAGAGGAAAGAGGCAAGGAGAAGGGGGAAACTGGAAACACAGAGACTGTGGTGCCATAGAGGCCGAGGAAAGGGGGCGCTGAGTGGTGGTGAGCAGAGGAGCAAGGTAAGAGGAGGCTGCAGAAGCCTTTTGCACCAAGCAACACAGAGGTCATTCATGACTTTAGCAAAAGAAGTTTCAATGGAATGAAGGGAGCAGAAGGTGGAATGAGGTGTGTTGGGGAGGGAATCAAAGGTGAGGAACTAGAGAAGGTGAAGACAGTCAACTCTTTAGAAATGCTGTGAAGAGGAAGAGAGGGCACCAGGTGATGGGAGGTGTGGGGTCAGGCAGATTGCTCTGGTTTGATTTGGGAAGTGGAGTGATTCCAGCATGTTAAAGCCTAAGGATTTCGTTGAAAGGGAAGATTGAAAAAAAGAGATCTAATCATCACAGGTTACCGAGGGCCAGGATCCTAAACACAGGTGGTGGGATGTGGAGCTTGTTGATTCTGGTAGTTCCTGCTCTTGCCTGGACCTTTCTGAGTCTCTGTGACCTGCCTACAGTCGGCTCCCCTGGCCTGAAAATGCCTGTCATCCTTCCCTGCTCGGCTGTTTTCTCAGCTTTGTTCACCCACTGTTAAGTTATTAACTTGTCAGGGGCTAGGTTCCCGCTTCCTCTCCCTCTCTGAACTCACTGTTGGCTCCTTTTTGTTGGCTGCCTTAGAAAGTCAGCCTCTGGAAGGCCGGGGTTACTTGGCAGGTCAATGCAGGCAGTGACACAGAATTACAATTATATAATTGGCATAAAATGTGAAGGCTTCTTAAAGAAGTTGATACAACTGAAAAAGAAATAGCAAACACAACCACTTCTCCATTATCTTAGATGTGGAGGCAAATGGCAGACTTAAAATAGACTTTATTCAAAGTAATTTCTCCAAGAGGGTTCAGTTTTAAAGGGTCACTTGTAAACATGTTAAGGACCATCAGATTTTTACATGTTAATTCATGGATTCAATTAGGATTAGGAATGATCTTTGATTTGTTTTTAAAGCAGACTCAAATAAATAGATAGGTTATTTTAATGTAAGTGTTGTTACTCTGAGACATGCAATTTTGTCTAAGATTCTCTAGAGAGATTTGGAGCAGTTCCTTAAAAAGAATTGAGTGGTTTTATCACTACGTTGAACATTTGATGTCATCACTTAACTTAATGTGGGGTTTGATGGACTAAGACAGACTGTTTCCTATTTGTTGACCTACATCCCACTGATAATCCTTATCTAAGGACAAGATCAAGGGAGAAGTAACATTTTTGAGCCTCTATTGTGGGCAGATCTCTTACTTATGTCATCATATTTATTCCTGGCTATCCTTTGAGGTACTTATTACATATAGTTTTACAGAGCTCAGAACTGTGTAGTAATTTCCCAAAGTTCACACTTTGTAGGGTGGCGGATAGGACTGAGTGCTGGACTTCATGCTCATGCGTGGAGAGGCAGCCATTGTGCTGGAGTAATAGTAGCAATAGCAACAACTCCCGGACGTCGGATCCTCCACCTGCGAAGAGCCTTCGCGTATGTCCTATCACTTAACCCCTATGGCAACCCTGCACGTACCTTGGTCCTCATTGTAGTCCTCATTTTACAGAAGAGGAAGCTGCCTCACAGAGGTAGAATTATTCGCCAAGTCACACAGCTATTTAGTGAGGAGCTGGGAGTCAACCCAGATCCATCTGACTCAAACGTTCCATTCTAAAGTCAACTTGTTTCTTAAGACTGGGGATGGTTTCCCTGATCCCAGGAAAAAGTCTGAGGCATGATAGACGTAAATATTCTTTTCCTAATGTTATTCAGTGTACAGCTGCCTCCTGGCATTTATATTGAGCGAGAATACAGGATGTTTATTTAACTTTTACTCTTTGTGAGCCTTGGTAGGGGAGGATAGAAATGTCAGCTATTTCTTCAAGCTTATAAATTTTGGTAGGGTACTTTTGCATCCATCTAGCAACTTGTCCTGTCAAAACCCACCCAAGAACCCAGAATTAGGTACTAAGACCTCTGAGCACAGCCAGAATTAAATATCACAAGTTATTGAACTAACTCCTTCACCGTGTCTACAGACAAGGCCCTCAGACGCTCACACGGAACTGATTTACTCTAATTTCACACTTAATTCTAACAGTCTTTGTTTTCGGTTTAGTCTGCAGCAACGATGTAGCAGAAGAGGGGCCACTGCAGATTGGCATAGCAACACCAAAGATGTGACCAGAGATAAGAATGAGACAAAAAAAATGATAAGCAGAAATGAGAGCCCAGAAGTACAGCCAACCAGAGCTATTTTGGTGTCAAACACAGCATGTCCTCTATAATAGTATCACAGCAGAGTCTCATCATTTATTGTTTTTCATTACGGTGACATTCATGAAAAGTTACCATTAAATCATGTTTGCTGTCTCCAGTTTAGGAAGGTAGTGATGATGTTTTTTTAGAAAAGGAAAAAAACCAAAGAAACGCATTAGCGCTTTGTCTAGCCTTAAAATCTTGCTGTCTGAGAAAGACTCCCCAGGGCCCATTGTGTGGTTTCTCTGTTTCCCTGTAGCACAGTGCCTGGCACATAGTGTGTGCTCACTGAAGTTAGATGATGAAATGTCAAATGACTCGTTTCCTGAGGTTCTGGACAGCCCTGTTTTACTGCGGTCACTTGGAAGCTGCATTCCTGGATGTGTTCCAGGACGACTTTAGGAGGGAGAGAAGGGATAAGGCTCCAGAGAGCTCGGTGTTTATTTTTACCAATGATTAAATGAGATGATACACAGCCTCCCTTCAAACGAGAGCTCTTCAATGCATGGAAATGGCACTTACCACTATCCTTGTCTTCATTAACACTGACCGACCAACGCTGCTGTCTGGGGGAGACTTAAACAAGAAGTTGGTATCTTCCTCTCCTGAGCCACATTCGAAACCCAATAGCTAGAACCAGGCTGAGCTGAGCTATCTAACCAGCTCTCACCAGAATAAGCAAGGCGGGGGGCGGGGGTAGGGGGGTCCCAGGAGTTCTCTGTGGGTGACAGTCTACCCACCCCCTTGACCAACCCAGAGTAACGACTCAGTGTTGCTTTCAAGGAGAGACAGTGCCTTTCAGAGAGCTCCAGGAAGACACACGTGCAGCCAGGGTCCCGGGCAGCCAGAGGCCCAGCTTTTTGTGCGCATCTGCCCTGAGCACCCTGCCTGCCTTCCCAGCACAAGGAAGGTCGTTTCACAGGTCACAGCCATTTTGAAAAGGCAGACTCGCTGACCGGGTTAATGAGTGCAGTTTCTGCATGAAAGCCCATCTCCCTCTCCCCAGCAGCCTCAGAACATTGCTGGGGAAAGGGGCCAAATCTCCTCTCAGCCCTGAGGGATTTCTGGCCTTAACTCCTGGTGGAATTAGCAGGAGTTATCTATAAATCCCTGAGGCATCCATCAGCAGAGGGAGAGAGGCTGCCTTTCTAAAGAAGTTGCTGACCTCTTGTTAACTCCTTGTTAGGAAATTTCTAATCAGCTGTGAGCCAACGCGTCAAGGGCCATCGGCAGAAGCCGGGCTCACTGTGGCTTGGCTTTCCAGCTGTGTGCTGTCTGGTCTCTGAGCTGTTTTGTTTTCCTCTCTCAGCCATCTTTCAGATCATTCAGAGCATCAGGATGGGCATGTGACAGTCCTGGGGATCTGACACGGCCTCCTGGAGGCCGGAGGACCGCGAAGTGTTCAGCCAGTATCTGTGGGAAGCAAAGCCACACAGAACAGGAAAAGTCTCCCTCAATTGTTCCCTCATCACTTCATCGTGGATGTCAGACAAAATTGCTTCTCCCAGGACATCTTGGCTCATCTGTGTTCTGAAGCGGAAAGGACATTTTGCTTTTCTGATGGCCGGATTGGTAGCCATGCGGGTCGTCCAGGGCAGCGTGTCTGTGTGCTTTTTCCCTTGGTTTCATTAATGTATGCATGTGGCCCTCTGAATGGTCGCTGGTTTACTTTCTATGGATATGATCTTCCTCCATTGGGAATCAGTTTTACAAATAAATGTCTTCATTCAACTTCATTTGTGAATTATTATTAGAAAAACTGAAGTGAAGAAGATAGCAGAATAGCTGAGGGGATGGGTGGAGGGACTTGATTATGCAACTGGCAAAGGGGCAGGGAATCTGTGGCCAGGCAACCAGAGCTAGATTTACCCAGCAGGTCCCTGGCCAGACCCTCAAGGTCCTTGCCTGATACCTTGGGTGTTCCACACATTTGACTCTTCTTTATATATAGTCTTGTTTGAGGGTTTTTTTGTTGTTCTTTTTTTTAGTCCAGAAAAGCCATCTACAATGTGTGTTAAGGTCCGATTAGCCATTATCTCTTCTGTGGTCTGCCTCAGAGTTTAGCAGAGAACAGATGTCCCAGGCCTCTTGGTGAAAAGCATCCACCCCAGAGCCCAGTCGTGGCCCCTCTCCAGAGCCCTGGGCAGAGCAGGGACCTTCAACACTCCGAGGTGGTCAGCTGGCAGGATGGGGTGAGGCCCCGGGCTGGTGGGTGACACCCTCTTCCCCCTGGCCAGACTTCCCCACAGCCTCTCAAAGCGTAATATCACCAAAGCAATGCATATGGACAGCCACAGAGGTCACCAACAGGATTAAATATGGTCCCCAGGCAACTTTCAGCATGCCTTCATCTTTTTAATTCCATCTTTGCATTGGCCACTTTTTTTTTTTTCATTCCTGAACATTGTGAGAGCTTTAAAAAGGGAAGTGGCAGCAGTGGCCAGGGCCTCTCTCAACCACTTATGGGGTTTTGCTGTAAGTGGCTCCCTTAGAATTAGGGAGCTTTTTGTTCACTAGAGTCTTTTACCCCAGATCCTTTAGTGATGTTCTTTAAGGCTTTCTTTTCTCCCACCCTCTGAGTTCCCCTCCAAAAGCTCCCTGCTCCCCTCCCTCTTTCTCCCTTTCCCACTGAAAAGAGCGTAGCAGGGCTGCTTCAAAATGAGCAGCCACTATCCTTGTGCTCCCCACAACCCCCACCTTCTGGTCCCCAGCCCCTCCCGAGGTGGCAGAATACATTTCTGGCCACTTGAGGTCTGCACACAAATAGTGCTCTGCAAGCCAGTGACCTCATCCCTTTGGCTCTGACTATCCTTTTCTAGGCCACCAAGTCAGACCAGAGTGCTGTGAAAGGTCAGCCCCCTGCGAGGGCCCAGGAGCCCACACTACCTGCAAACAGCAAGGAAGAAAGGCCCCTTGCCGTAAGGTTACCTGGGCTGTGCTCCCACACTCACCCTTTGTGATGCCCACGTTGCCTAGACCTGATCTGAACATAGGCCTGTCTCTTTCTCCCCTAATACCAATAAAAGTACACTTACCAACCCACCATGAAAGGCCACTACTGGGCCAGAGCTTTGTGGTTCAGCCTTTATTGGACAAAACTTTTCTTAACCTAATTTGGACTCTTCCATAAGAGCAGTAGTCAAGAGGGTGATTATCCCCAATTCAAGGAAAGGGCAAGAGTCAGCTCCAGATAAACCTGGCTCATCCCCAGGTGACAGATGTGGTGGGCCAAGCCAGCTGCCATCCATAAAACTGTTCATTATCAATTTCTCTCCTCAGGTTATGCGATCGCCCACAAACTAGATTTCTATTAGTCTTTAGCTAGGCTCCCTGTAGAACTGTGTATGATGGTCTGCCCCCCAGTGACTTCTTCTGCCAGTCCTCTGCAACAGAGATGAGAGCTTCTGGAAGTGAGTGAGGTCACCGCTGATTTATACTGTGCAGCAGAGACTAGAAACATGTTCACAGCAACCCAATGCACAACATACCCACTAAAACAAGGTTTACAGATCAACATTTGTCCTTACCACTAATGCATGCACTCTGATTTTTTTCTTCCTAGTCTATTTAACTTTTTTAATGCTGGTTGCCTCCTCTACAACTGATTTTAAACCCATTAATAGGTTTCAACCCACAGTTTGAAAAACACTGCTCTTCAGGGGGGGAAATCAAGCCCTTAGCAGGGAACAGATAAGCAAAACTCATAAGGGAGGAAAGTTGGAGTCCCACTCTGTATCCTGGTGGGAACCTGAAGCCACATCTCAGTCACAACCAATCAAGACCTCCACGGGCATATAATAAGCGACTTATTTTGGGATTTAAGATACATTGACAGATCCTGCAGAGAAACTGGGGACCAGGTGAGCTTGTGGATCTAGCACCACCATGAATCCTTTGAAACACTGTGAAATAAACATCAGTTTCCATTTCAAGTGAATGTCAGCATTCACTTGCTGGGAATCACAATCACTTAGGGTGGAGATGAGGAGTTCTCACAACTAGAAATCCACCCCAGGCCTGCTGAAAACCAAACTCTCCAGGGAAGAGGTGCATGCATATATATTTTGCATATGTATTATTTAAAAAGATATTCAGATGATTCTGATACCGCCCATCCACCAATGAGCATCTGGAACCAATTCACTAACAGACATTTTATTAAACCAAAGCAGGGACCCAGAGGGCATGGCCCACACCTAACTCTGCATTAACCCTCATCCCCAAGAGCTCCTCCTGTCTTTGACAATCAGAGGCATTTGGGGTGCTCCACAGAGCTCAAAGATGCTGATACACTATGCCTGGTTTTGCTCCAGGTCTTGTGAGTCTTTATTGCCCCAAGTGAGCTCCAGACTGGGACACAAAGTGCTTAATACTTAATACCTAGAGGCTACACTTGATTATAAGACAAGTCTCACCCTGTCCAGACATAAGAACATTCTGACAGCATATCCCTGCCAATCTTCCATACTTGTCCCCCAGAGCTTTGGAGGCAAAATGTCATCTGGGTTATGTCCTTTATCCTACATGAGTCATCATCAGGCTTCAACTGCAAACTGTGAACGTATATTAATATACTTTCTCCACAGAAAGTCCCTTTCTTTGAGAAATCATCAAAGCCTGAGGCTTCCATCTGTCAGCCATAGGCCATGACTTCCTCTCCAGGGGTTGACAAGCTTTTTCTATAAAGGACCAGATAGTAAATATTTTAGGTTTTGCAAGCCATATGGTCCCGAGGCTATTCAACTCTGCAATTGCAGCTTGAAAGTAGCCATCAACAATACATAAATGAATGACCATGGCTGTGTTCCAATAAAACTTTATTTAGAAAACAGGTGAGCCTCACAGAGCCATGCCAAGCCAACCCCTGCTCTAGAGCAGCAGTTCTCAAATTGTGATTCTTCCCAGCCCCCAGCCTCACGAGCACCACCTGGGAACTTTTCCCAGTGAGAAATATAAACCTTCAGGCCTAACCCAGACCTACTGACTCAGAAACTGTGTGGGTGGAGCCAGTAGTCTGGGTGATAAAAGTCCTCCAGGTGATTCTGGTGCAAGTTTGAGAACCACTGCTCTAGGTCTGATGCAAACCTGTCTGCTCCAGGGCGTTGCCCTTGGTGAGCCATACCCCATACAGGCCTCTTCCCTTTCATTCCTCCCAAATCTAAGTGTACCCTAAGTACTTCACTAACCATTATGCACCGAGGGTTTTGCGCTCCGCTTGTTTCCTGTCTCTACGATTAAACTGAAATCCCTTAAAGGTAGAGTCTGTATCTTTGGCTTCTTCTCTACCCCCATCACTGTTCCATGTTAAGTATTTAATGAAAGCAGGGCAAGCCTTCACCTCAGCCTCCTGGATCTTAGAGAAGATAGTGAAGCACAGAGTTTTTAGCCCATGTTGGGAAAATATAGGAAAATGGCCAGGGCCCCTCAGCTGTTCAGAATCTTGCCGAGCATTTGATGTAAATAGGCACGTGTGCTCAGGTGTTCCTTGGTTATTATCTAATGTAATTGCGCATGTGCACCCAGGTGTCCTGGGTTATGACTTAAGTATAAAGGATGAGTGGCTCTGTCCTGGGGTGTCCCCAGGGGAGGCCACTACTGCTTCTGGAGGCTCTTGCTACTGCTGCCAGTGCCCCCAGGACCCTCCACGAGGCCACCACCACCACTAGATCTGTAAGTTACTGGACCTGTAAGCTGCTGCTGCTGCTAAGGACTGAGCTTGTGTCATCTGTCAACAGCTCCCGGGATCTTTCCCGATTACCTAGCGTGGACCTGCGTGTGAGGGGTCTGGGGACCCAGTCTGTACAATGGGTTTGAAGGGTCTGAGCCCTAGTTCTGACAATATAAATGGAAACTTAGTATAACTAAAATAACGAAACATTTTGGCTTTAGTTATGATTTGCCTTACTCGATGACTGGCGTAGTTGTGTAGCTTTACAATTGGGCTACGTCAGCAGGATTCCGACATTAGCCCTAGTTTTACAGCCCACAATTCACTTTTCAAAAATATCAGTTAAGTGCCTGCTATGTGCCAGGCCTGTTTTAGGGCATGAAGTCCTCGGCTTCATTGAACTTACATTCTAGTTAATTATACATATGAACTAGATAAATTTTCTTCAGTAAATCCTATGAAAAATAAGGCAAAATAATGCAGTGACAAGATTCTAAACAGCATGGTCAGAGGAAAGCCAAGCAGGAGTCACTGTTTTTATGAGCTAAAAGTGGACACGTGGCCTCTTATGCAGTGCTCTTTCCGGGCCGAGCATTAACAGCGGGCACTTCAGCACTGGTCAGGACAGAGGCAGCTGTGCGACAGGAGCCCCAGAGCTCAGTGGCTCACTTCTCTCCCATGCAAGTCTGACTTGGGCTAGTGAGGTTTTCCCTCCAAGCCGTGGCTCAGTGATCCAGGTTCTGCTGCCATCACAAGGTCACATCAGCATAGAAGGAAAGGCAGGGGACAGCAACTCCTCACCATCTTGCCCAGAAGTGATGCTTTCCTTCCACTTACTGCATCGGCCAAAACTAGTCCCATGACCCAGCCTATCTGCAAGGAAGGCCGGGAAGCATCAGGGTGCACATGGCTGTTGGGTGCATTCTGAGTCTGCCACGACCCTCTACATACTGTACTTCCTGCAGGTCATGGGATTGTGAGATCAAAGCTTAGTTGAAGTCAGTTTTCTAGCCATGACCTTTTCATAGGGACCTAATCTCGCTGGGCTCCTGTGGCATCTAGAGCTGT